ACTAAGAACAATGAGATTACTCTGAAAACCAGTTGAGATACATTAGGATGAATATACATATTGTTTATATTTGGTTTTTATAAATATTTATATACATAAAATTACATACATAGGCACACAAAGGAATACATTCCTTTCTATGCAATCGGTCCATGTCTTAACAGCAACAAAGAAGAAAATAAATTGACTTCTTAGGTTTAAAATATTTGGAAAGATTTTTCTCTATTTAATGTCATAAGCAATTTGAAAGATAGGGAAAATACAGACTCTGTGACATTACTACAACACAACTACAAGAACTAAGTGTAAAAAAATACAGTGATTTTCATAAAGAAATATAATACTCTCCCTTTATCGAGCATTATTTTAGATTACTATATGACACAAACTGGGTGACAAGAGACGTGATTCTATAGATAACTTCACAATCTTTACAATGGTATTCCCTTTCAGTGGAAACTCCAGGGTACTATACCTAGTAGGAGTACTAGAAAAGCACACTGAAACAGAGAAGCCTCAATACCGGACAAGACAGGATCCCACCAACGCAATCCCTGTTAAGGCTGTCAGACAAGAGGTCATTTTCCTCCTCCCATTTCCTCTGATTTTTATTCTAACAGACATATCAGCTATATCTAGGCTTTTTCTTGTTTAAATGATATCATGACACATCTTGTTTACCTCAGAAAGGCACTAAGTCTATTTTTTTTCTAACCTCCACCAGAAAATTTTTCAGGCCCAAGATCACTGTCATTTTGTGCAGCTGTCACTATCTCTGGAGTGCACCTGAGAAGACAGGGCTACCACCACCTACATTAGGCCAGCTACAAAGAGGCCTTCCAGGCATAGCCGAAAAACTTCTTTCAAACTGTTTCACCCAATATCATGCATATCCTCACTAATTTCAGTTTTCTCCATCCAAACTACACTTCTTTACAAGTATCATCAACATTAAGCTTTATTTCTTTGAATTTCCCTTAAATCTTTTATTGCCACATTAAGCCTAAAGCTTTGCTCTCTCTTTATAAAGAGCACAATACATAGGGTTTTCTCCATTTTAGCTAGACTTCCGTAACTGACAATACTTTTCCTTTTCTCCAGAATTATTTAGCTTTAAAGTAAGGTCATAGTCCTATCTTCCCCCAGCCTCTCTTCTCGTAAGTTACATAGAAGGTAGTATGGTCCTGAAGTAACTGCTATATTAAAGACACTCAAAACTGTATTTCAATAGACTCCTTCCCCTTCATTTCATGGCTGCACAGCTCAGTCACAGACTAACTCCGAGTTTACAAAAGAGCAAAAATATGGCTGCTGCAAAAGGCTGCCTACAAGTATTATATGCTCGCAAGGTCATTCAAGCAAATAAATTCATTCACTGTGAAAGAAATTATAATACAACCATATACAGGGCCTAGGAGTTTATTATAATTAAAAGATGCCTAGGCATTTATATGAATAATGACGACATCAGTTATAGGCATTTAACAAGCAAAAGATATAAATCCCTTGCTGTCCAGAGCTAGCTCTGTAACTGACAGATGGAATTAACAAACTGTCCAGAGTCAAGCTAGCCATTTGCTGCACAACTAAGAATTTTTTCATCTTTATCTGATCAGTTACTGGCCACTGTTACTGACAGTAATTTCAGCATACTCACACAGAAGACACATTTTTTTAAAACCTGCAGAATTTCTTTTGTGAAAGGGAACTCTATATAGTTTACCATTTTCTTGTTGCATTCTATTGTTTAAATTTGATTGGGAATGTTTCTTTTTGCCTTTAAAAAATATTTGTATTAAAATATCACCAAGAAGCATAGTCAGAGCATGTAATTCACTGCATTAGGCACTGCATGATATCCAAATATGCCACTTGCTTTACCTATTCATATGCTGAATTGGGTTGTATAATATGAAGAATCATCACTAGAGAAGCAGCTAATGGCATATTCAGTAGACTATCACAGCTCTGTTTCTACTTTGCTAGAGAACCCAAAGAAGTATGTTGGGAAGTGGAGGAGTTACAGAAGAAAGTTTGGGGTTTATATATTAATCATATTTAATCTCTAAAAATTACATAGGGAATCCAGTTTCTATTCTTACCATGCCAAAGTGAGAAGTTAATTTCAAAGAATGTGAATTCCTCCATCAGAGAGGAATTTTAGATCCTCTTTAGTTTTAAGTAGAGATCATGATAAAAATATTAACCAAATGCTTTCAAAGAGTAAAGTTCCTAACATCATCCACGGAAGCTGGAGATCTGCAGACTACACTAGCAACTTAACAAAATGTCCGATAAAGAAACCCTTCTCAGTAAAAGCTACTGTTTCTTGTAGTTCCTCTGATTGATCCATATTTCTATCTAATTCCAAGATTTTATATCATCTCTCTTCCCATCACTGCAAAACAAACTTGAAGACACATCTAAGTAAAAGCAGTAAGTGAACTAACATAGATTTGCTGAGGAAATACACGGTGAATACGTATACCTAAATGGGCACATACACGTTCGTGTCCCCCAAACATACACACAGAGTGTAACAGTACCTAAATATAAAAGGCCAGTTATCCCAAGATTCCGCACAGAATAACCTATAAGCACTATAAGGCATATTATAGCATAGAAAGTGCAAAGCTTTATGGTAGTATCACAGTGCTGCTGATTTCAACAAAGAAGAAATTATACTGCACCACACGTTCAACAGAAAGGTAATAAACAATGGGAAAAAATTTTCCCTGAATGACAGCCAAAAGGGCTATTCAGAAATATCTGGTTAAAAACACAAATTACCACTCATCTTGGCCATGATCCCCAATTCAAAAGCAAGCCTCCATGACACAGGGCTCCCAGGTTTTCACATCACCCATGTCTACTAATTTTTTACTGCCATCAGACGTTGCAGTACTTCCCAAACCCTTGCAAAGCTTTTGTATCTCACCACCAAATAACCAGTGCCCAGTACCTGTTCCTGTGCTTCCCACCCTCCTGAAGCCACAGAGCACTACATCACATTTCCCATCTTTCTGAAGCACAGCATTGCCAAAACCTCAAAGTCGCCACATCGCTCTCCTATCACCACCACCTCCACCTTACAGATCTCCCCCATATCCCAATGCTTTCCAGGGCCAGAAGCCCAGTCATACCCCAAAATCCAGCCTCCCTGCAACACACCACTTCCCCACTGACTCCCACTGCAGAACCCTGAGCCGTGTTGACTCCAGCCACTGCGCACTTTCCTCATCTCTGAACAGAGCTTCCATGTACCCAACAAGCTACCACCCCAGCACACAGGACAGACACCTCCAGCCCACCACACCGGCCACCCTCAGTGGGATGTTCCCATCTACTCGAGTGCTGGGCATCATGGCCAACAGGGAGGCAATAAGAATAGAGACCAGCCAAGGTGGGCAGCAGACGGTAACAAAGATCAGATAGCCAAAAGATGAGGAAGGGACACAGATGGAGATTGGAGAAGAAAGGAAGAGATACCAGGGTAAAGAGAAGGAGAGAGAAATGACAGCAGACAAGGGATTTCACCTGGCCATAAAATATCCAGAATTAAGGATTAATTAAGGATTAAATTAAGGACCACAAGCCTTGGCTCCCCCCTGTGGACTGTAGAATGAAACTCAAAAGGGCTTCCTAGGGAGACAAGTTGCCCTTCATCTATACCAATAATAATTACTCAGACTTTTCTAAGCTTCAGGAAAAGACCAAGTACTTGAAAACAAAAACCTCAAAAGACTGTGACACTTAAACAGAAGGAAATGGAAGCACATTTTGCAAATGATAAAAGAAAAAAAAAAAGAGGAAGACATACTCTTTAGAAGAAAGAAATCCTAAAAATTACAAAAGATAAACATCTCGGATTTCACCATTAAAGTGTACTAATTATTAGGATAGGATCTACCATTCAGATTAATCCCACAAGACTTGTAATTGAGGTAGTTATAAGACAGTATTAGTTTATATATCCTGAAGATGTGAAGAGACATCAAAATTGAAAGAAAATTAAAAATGAGAAAAAATAGAAAATTAGAAAAAAAATTTTAGCTTAGAAAGCTACAATTGATGCTTAAGTGCTTCAGTCAAACTGATACACCAATTAAACATATAAACTTCCCATTTGCAACACAGCATCTGCTAATTATAAGACTAAGTCATTGTCTAATAATTTTTTGATTGCACACTATAAAAAGAGCGGTAGTGACAAATACGCACAATAAACCTCAGGATGATTCTAAATGTTTGATAGTTCAGCCCTCCCACAACCTATTTTTGGAAGCCGAAATTTGAATACCATTAAACCAAAGAAGAAACAGCTGGCAAGATACCACATACAACATCAACAACTGATCTCTAAGACTAACGGGATGTTCCTCGCTGCATCCAGCAGCACAGTGTGGAAGTACCCAAGCGAGCTCAAGTACCCAAGCAACTGGAAAACAGTCTAGCATAACTCATGTAACGTGAGAACATGAGAACTATTTCATCATTCTTCCTGGAAGCCAATAAAATACAGGGTAAATTAGCCACTACTGCAGCAGAATGCTTCCAGTATCTGACTTAGGTTAGGTATCTATATATCGTATCAAATATGGCTTTCATAATGGTCACAGGGACAATCATTTTCTTTTAGGACATAAACTGTAATTCAAACTACACCTTATTGTAGCGCAATGTCTTCCAAAGTCTAAATACCTATCTTCTGCCTCTGAAGGCAGTTGATACAAACACAAACCAATAAGTAATTAATTGCTTCACAAAAAAAATGTTGCCCAAAAGAAGTTGTTATTAAACATCTTTATCTAGATAAATCATATGAAAAAACTGAAAGTACTAATGAGTTTTGTCCATGCCATTTCTCAACGCAAATTGGGAAATAGACAGCAAGAACCATAGTAAAAAGTCTTGGGGGTTTGTCTTTTAAGTTAAACACTAGTGCGAGTCATATGAGTGCAACCTAAAAACGCCTCTACAAATAACTAAGAAGGACTCACCAAGTTCATTGAGACTCTGGGCAGCTTTTGTTATCTCTCTGCTTCCTCCTTGCAGTTGTCCTTGAAGTCTCTTACTGAGATACAAGATGCGTATTATCCTCCGCAGCAAGTCACAGGCAGCCTGCAGAGAAATCATAGCATTAGGGGATATTATCAGTACATTATGATGACATAATATTAGGCCTCAAATATGGAAATATTTTAACCAAAAAAGGAAATATGAATGTGAATAAAAACAAGGCATTTTAGAACACTGAAATCCCTTTTTTTCCAGGATTTTTAACATGATTTTATGCAACACATACCAATACTTTCTAAGCTGGTAATTATGTTTACCGGGCTACTGAGATCATACTGTCATTGCTAGTAAAGTGAGCTTTATTTTATATTGTGCATCTTTCCTCAATATTCCTCCCCTCTGTAAGCTTTAGTTAAATTAAGAAGTTTGCCTCGCCAATCAAATATTGATCCAAAATAAGCAAAATGGCAGCACTAAAGGACACTAAAACTTTAAATTGTTATTACAGATAGTAACTCTTATGGTAGGAATATATGTAAAATCTCATTTTCAGCAAAATTCTCATAAGGCTAGTCACCCTCATTCAGCCAACTGTTAGTTCACAATCTTTCAAAGGTTTATTAAAATAAACTGCATTCTTGGATAAAAAAATTAATGAATGCATATGTAAATTTCCATGAAACATATCTGTGAATGTTTTCAATTAGCACCAATTTAGCATTGCTGACATCTGAATCAAACATAATAGTTCCGTAATTTTCCATTCAAATAAGACCTTGAAATAGGTTTTCTCCCTCTACACAGTAGATAATAGAGACAGAGAAACAGTAAGAGTTATATCAAGTGCAGAGTCCCTCTAGGGCTGGGTTGGGTCAGTGGGGCTTAACTAAAATTCAGAAATGCAATTCAGAAAGTAAAAAAGCAGTACAGTCACAGGTCCAGTTCAACATCTGATTAACAAGAGAGGCAAATTAGAAATTTGGAACAAGTAACACTAGTTGTTCTGAGGTATTTTCCCTGATACTGAAGACAAAAGCCTCCTGAAATATTTACCTTCTGGATACCAAAATTCAATTAAAAAGTATTTACTATCTGACAGACTTTGAACACCTGTTTTAGATTCAAGTTAATATCTTGAAAACTAACTTCAACATGCACGTATGAAAACATACACAGGTGAGTCATTTCAACCAATATTCAGGGACTGCCCAACTTGTCCACCTCATCTCTATGCCAGCACAAACCAATCAAAACACAAATATTTATAGTTTAATTTTATTAAACAGAAAAAATAAAAAGAAAAAATTAGAAAAAGCCCCACTGAGGCAAATTACCAAAAGCATAATTACTCTTGCTGCTTTTGGGTCTGTATCACATAGCCTGAAGGGCAAGTTTCCTAAGCATTCTAAGACAATTTAACCACATGATTTCTATTACCGTTAGTGAGAACCAAGCAGGGATTATCCTACTTTGAGAGATTAACGTATTAGTTTATATTAATTCATTTCTTTAATTAGAAAAATCTTGATCCACATATCACTTTCATATCTGTGAACTAAATTTTTGCTAGATGAATCAAAAATAGCTTCTTATACAGTGCATTGTGCTTCACACGTATTCCTACTTTGCTTTCAAATTTAATTACTCTGTAATCCAATCGTGTACCTCTGGCTAACATTTTCCCTAGGAATTCAACTTCAGTTATCTTCTGACCATCTTTTACTTTACATGCCAAAAGATTATTTCTTTTTCATTTGATTGTTGTTCATTATCTCCTATCCCAAGAAACAATCTTTTAAAAGGACTATCAAACTGAATAAGAGATGGGAAAAGTTAAATTTAGATACAAGAGCAAAAACAAGTTTTAACTTCGGGTCCTGGGAGTTAGAAAGGAGAGAAAAATCCAAGGACACTGAAGACGTATTCTCAACTTCATAGTGGTTGCTACTGCATTTTGTCCTTGGCAAAGGTTCTGTTTCACCTAACTATTTCCATTTACTTGAGTTGTTCAAGTTATTAATAACTCCCAGTTAGTGTAAGAAAATGCAATACATGGGGACCATGTAACAGAAATAAAACAAACTTATCTAATAGTGGAGCTGTTCATAGATGCTAGATCCTTTAACCTGACCACCTGCACAGAAGTCTGAATTAATTCAAGAAACATTCCCTTCCTGAGTTGATATAGTATGCTCTTCTGAAGGAGGTGCTTTCATCCAAGGAGGAATGAATTCCACTGTTCAAGAATTAATTTGGAAAAGGCCAATGTCCCAAGTTAGTCCCAGTGGTTTTAGTAAAATTACAAATAAAACTTGATAATTTCTGGTGATTACATGTCAAGTTATCTCCTGAATTTTAAAGCAACATATCAGCACTAACAGATATTCTTGCTACAATTCAAGCCATCAACAAGCCTCTTACTTTTAATCTCAAATTAATGTTAAGAAATTATTGAAAGAAGACTTAATTATAAAGGGAGGACCACTTGAAAATGTGCCAGTGCATAGCTCATATATGCAATTGCATATATGTGCTAGATCATAATGTAATTCAATGTATATATAACAGAAACATGAAGAAAGACAAAACAGCCCACTATCTTCAGACTACATTTACTATTTAGTTAGTAGCACCTGAATAAAACCTGCGAGAACAACTTTAAAATACATCATTATTATTTTTAATGGTTTTAAAAATTTGGCTTTTACAAGGATTTTTAAGCACCAATATATCTGAAATTAAGAGAACCTGTAGAAACACTTGGTTAAACAGAGCTGCACAGAAAATGACCCTCTGAAGGACAAACTCTGTCTGCATATTTCAGCTGTTAACTATTCCCATTTAGCTTGTGATTTACTATGGAAAGACTCAGAAGAGGACAGTATGATTTAAAGTAGGAAGTAAGCTTTGTGCGACTGCTCCTCCCTTGGGATGCCATGAAGTTCTAAGAGCAGAGCAAGCCATAATATACACAAGCACACAGCAGAGATTTAGAATTCAGGACTAGATTTGAAGTTTGACAATGAATTTGCAATGAGAATGTTTATGAAAAAAACAGACTATATTAAAAACAATTAAGGATGGCAAAATCCAGCTTTATGCAAGCCAAATATTCCTTCAGTTTGTGAGCAGTCCCACAGCAATCAATGGAGAAGCACTAAAATAATACCATCACAAGTACAAGAGGCCCTTAAATGCTGCACAGTTCAGCAAAATATACCTGCCAGCCCTACAGATTTTGACAGAGCACAACCTCTTTTATCAGTCATCTACCTTTTGTACTTACTCTACCAACTGTACATCAAATGATAAAATTAGCAAGTTTGAAAGTGTCCCATGCCACAAGTCTTGCATTTGGGAGCAATTTCATGTTATACCACCACCAGGAAGGAAGTTGCCCTTCCTTCCTGAACAAACAAGGCAGTCAGGTAAAGAGACACGACGACACTGCATCCTGGGGAGGCAGGAGGGTTGAGATTTCAAAAGCCTATTCACTCAACCCATAAGTCCAGCTCTCGTGCCAAGGATGGAGTCACACTGGCAGAGAAACTGGAATCATCGTTCCTCTTTCTACACTGAGTTAAGTAAGTGGATTTGGATGCTAGGAAGGGTAGCCTAGCAGGCTCTCTTTACCCTGCATCCCTTTATTCTGACTTACAGCCAAGAAAAGCCAGATATTACAAATTCCCTGGCACAGGCTGAGTAATGCTGACCCTGGATGCATGCCGCACTCCTGCCACAGGAAAATCCGTGTAACCCTGCTACAGCAAAGAGGAAGCAAAGAGAATCCAAGAAACATCTCCTAAGTTCAGGGAGTCATTCTTCTCTGGTGTCCTTCTGCAGTTTAACTTTCTGTGAGGTCAGACAGAAACGACCGTCATCTTTAGCTGCAAATTCCCACAGCCCTTTCCACAGCTGTAACATACATCAGAGAACAATAAAAAAAATCAACACTTAACCTGACACTTGGAAGTCACAGAAGTTTTGCCCAGTGGCAAAAACTAACAGCTGGAGTTGAAAAGAACAGGACCCACAGCTGGGCAAACTGGCTGAACAAGGTGTTAAGAGCTTCCTGCTGAACTTCACTGCTACCGAAAGTAACATAGAAAATAATAGAAGTTCAGCTGAGAGATGAGTGCAGCTGCTCCACCAGCCCCTAGTCTAGAAACTGCATGACGGTTTGCAGCTTCATCCACTCTGCTGTACAACAGCAGTCACCGCAGATGGCAATCTACTTGAGTGTATACAGCTCAAATTTTAACCACTAGAATGTAAGTTCCTAGTTCTGCAAAGCTAAGGTAAACTTGTGAAGACAAATAGTTTAAACAATAACTCATTAAACACTTGTATATTTGGAGTTGTGTTGATTTTCAAACCATAAACAGAACAGAATGCAGCTACATGACTAAAGATCTATGGAATAATTTTCAACTATTATAAAATGAACAATGGAAATGTTTGACGTGTATCATCGTTGCGATAAACTCTCTTCCACTGCTGTCTTCTAACAGAGATCTACATTCTCCAGTAGACCCTACTTATATTCAAAAAACAGGGACAACTATGTACCTGGGCTTATAAAACTCCAGAACCACAACTGGCTCCATAAGTTGCATCTTGACTATTTTGAAAGAATTAATTCCCAAACTTTTCACTAAGCTGTAGTCAAGCATTCATTAACTTAGAGGAGAAAAGCATCTTCTACACAATGGCACCATAACATTAAATACCAAAATAACATAAACAGTAATGAGAATTTAATTAATTGGTACTCAGATAACCTTTTCCTCTTCTCTCCATCTCCACAAAAACTCACTTAGCTAGTGCAAAGGTCAGTTTCATACTTTGCAATACAAAGTACTTCAGAGCAGCTCATGAAAATACAAACAGTACTGAATTTCATTGAAAAATACTGACATTTTCATTCAGAAATACTGAAAAGTATTTTTTTAAAATACAGTTTTCATACAACTTACTTGAAGTTTTGCTAGCTGAGCTGTGCGAGACACTATTTTGTTGTAGGGGTCAACAATTTTGACTCTAATTCTAAAAATAAGAAGAGAAATTTATTTATAGCAGTATTAATAAATAACATGATAGAACAATTAAGAATTTATACTTCCCAATTGCATACAGAATGGCATACCTATCAACAGTACTTTGTAAAGCACCGATTCTAGTCTGCATCATTTGGAGGACACCTGCAAAATAAATGAGATTTTTTGTATAAAACACTTGCCACATAGAAAAAAACTCTTCTTCATATCATAGTAACTACTGCAGACTACTTTAGCATTAAAAAAAAAAAAAAAAAACCAAAAAAAAAAAAACTAGTTTCCTCCTTAACAACAAAACAGTCAAACAGATTGAAATTAACAGAACACAGCATGTTTGGAAATAAATTGAGCAGGTAATAGGGCACTTACTAAATGTTACGGAAAACTTACTAGTAGACAACACAAACCTACAGAAGAAATATCACTCTGAAATTCATTATATGTTAGGTTTCAAATAATATTTACAGCATGTTGCTTTCTAAGAGAATGATGATCAGGACTGCTGATGAAAACTATGGTACAAACACCCGAACATGATATACAAAAATGGCAGAACCTATTTTATTTATTTAATGTAGTGACTAGGCAATTCAGAGAAACCAACAGAAAGAGGACTGAGAAGATAACCAACTCTATTTCAAGGTTTTCTTCCTGTGCATAAGCATTTTGAGCAAAAACAAAGGTATCAATGTCATTGTGAGGTCATCTAATTTAGATTACAAACAGAGCAAACTACCCTAATCATGTCTGTTCCTGATTAGTTTGGAAAAGCAGCACAAAGAAAGCCTACAAGCATGCTTCTTCTGTTCTTGATAAATTGCATAGTCAAGGGTAGCAGTCATTTTTGCAATATGGAATCAGCCTGCTGAGAATTTAATTGTTATGCAAACCCAGGCCAGTGAAATTATTTTTGTTCCAGTTAACGTTAGCATTCTCAAATATACTACATTTTTGTAAAGACCTGTTTATAAGCATGTCATCTTTAAATTGGATAAAACTGCGATACAGTAAGATGGAAGATAAACATAACTCCAGCTAATAATAAACATAAAACTTCAGTATGATACAGTAAGATGGAAGATAAATATAACTCCTGCTAATAGTTTTATTCAGCTTGTCCTGTACTGGGACTATATCTCACATATTTTGTATAACTATGCCAACTCCCATCTTCTCCCTATTTCAGAATTATTAATTTGGCTTAGTGACAAACTCGGGAGTTCTCTGACATTTACACATGGAATGGTAAGCATGCAATTCTCACACATCAGAGGATGAAGATATGAGATACAGTGAAAAGTTGGCAGAATAGGCTGAATTTTCTACTCCACATTGCAACAATGGGAGAGGGCCAGTAGCGTGACAGTGCTGCATCTATGACTGTGACATTGCTGTACAGCATACAGCAGTTCTGTTGATGGAATGAAGAATTAAGATGGGTGAAAAGACAATCTACCCTATCCATCTGCTGTGTAAGACATGGGATGATACTATTTAGCTTATCTTGAGCTAACAGGTAGCTCAAGATATCTATTGAGCAACCTACAGACAGAAAAGAGTACGTATAACCAGACCCTCGTACCATTAAAAAAGTGCACAGACCTAAAAAAGAAAAGACTCCTCAACCTGGGCATATCAATTTTAATGAAAGTCACTTGCACGCATCCAAATGATTGTGCGTGCTGTGAATCAGTTCCATAACCTTCACTTGGTGACTTTCTTGACAAACATACCAAGAGCTATGTGTTTCTAACTTCATGATTAAAATTTCTGTTGACATCCATCTTTTCGTTTCCTTACAAGTCTTGACTCAGTGTTTCTCTACAGTGACCATATATCACATGTAGCACAAGCAGGGCAGAGGTAAGAAAGTTTTGCGTAACTTCATCATCTTTGTGTGCACAGACTTTCAATTTTCCTAGCAACTTGCAGACTGAAGTTTCTACTGATGTCTCAAGTATTAAATAGCTGTAAAACACACATTATTTACCACACCTGCCTTACAGAAATGTTTTATAACTGAATAGTTGTTTTGAAGTACTTCATTCTTTCCTCAGAGCAATTTTAGGAAGGAATGCCTTCAGAAACAACCGTGACTTCAGAAAATACAATTCCATTGAGCACAAATTGCTGAAGATCATCACTGGGAGGTATTTATTAATCACAAGATTGACTACAAATTCTTATCTACTTCTTATTTGGAGGATGAACACAGATTCCAGTCTTCCTATGCTTAATTTTCCAACTGTTTTAAAAATTATTCAGAAGCTACCATTGCTAGATTAAATAGGCTTTCTGTATTTGTATAGCTACATGCAAATGCTAAAATTTGAATACTGTATCTAACAAGTTCCAAAGACTAAGGAGAGACTATAACTGTCAGTAACCACAAACTCTCTGGTTATGCTAAAACCTGGAAGCAGAAGAAGGAACAAAGATAAATTACTTAGCAAGTTACAAAATAGAAGGGGAAAAGGGGATATGCTTGGATCCCATAGTATATGCAAATTAGCATGTTACAGGGATAAATATCTTTCTGTGCAACAAAAACCTCAAACCATATAAAGTTTCCAGCAAGTGACAAAGAGCAGGATGGCAGATCTCATGAGCTCCTGGTACAAGATAAATATAGCCCAAGCATTTTTCTATATAGATTTAATGGTTCCTAAGTAAGGCCTTGGAAAGTCAGTCGTTTATGTTACAATTCAGAACCCAAACAGTGGAATAACACAAAGGTATGTATTTAACTTATTCGCCTCTTACTAGGAAAAAAAATATCTCAATGCAGTTAAGACTATGTGTTAAAGCCTCTTCGGTTAAGATTTGCAAACTACGCAACACATGCATACACAACATGCACAAGCTTGGTGCTTACGGCAACAGCTATCAACTAATGTTGGAACAAAATTAGGCTTCCTTAGAAAAATAGATTAAAAGGTCAAAAAGACTTGATTGCTAAAGTTGCTCAGAACTGATTATCAAAGTATCTTTTCCTATGAAGTAGTTACTACAGAGAAGTGTCAGCCAAATCTTCTCCCTGGAGCTCCATCTACTGACATCAAAAAAAGCTACCACATGTTACTCCTCAGAAGTAAAATCTGTAGCCTTAACACTAGGGGCCAAAGTTGGCAGTGAATGACATTCCCCGCACAGATATTAACAGTCCTGCCTCCACTGTAAGAAGTAACAAGCACAATATAATGATATTTACCTTCCAGGGATTCAATTCCAGTTGCTTGGGCCAACAGGTCTTCATGTCTTGCAACAACCTTTAAAAAGATACAAGCAACACAGAGAAATTGAGATGTATGCCTGAAAGGAATGTATTAATATATCATCATTGTTCTTACATTAGGCATTAAAGTCTCATCATCACTACATTAGGCAGACACAGGGAAAAGCAGCCACACCTTAAAGATGAAAGGGTTTTCAGAACATGTTTTAATTCACAAAAGTGGCAAGCCCAGAAGGAGAAGAGGATCAGTAATTGCAGCATAGCCTAATTAATTAAATTAAATAACAGCCAGCAGAACAATCACATTTCAACACATCTTTATATATAATAATTGTAACCTTATTAATCACACAGTAATAATGTGTATTCACATTTTTAATATTTTCTATTTATAACATTTAGAAACTAGTCTCTGAAGAACTTAACAACTGCAACAGAGGGAGGGAAGAAGACAGTTTTGAAACTACACACAAACTTAGCATGTCCTCATTGCAGGATCCACTGTGGATTAGTGGTGTTTGTGTAGATTTTACCAAAAAGTCTCCTACTATCCAAACTCAAAAGCATTTCTGAAAGTGTGGAGGTGTGTTAACATAGGTGATATTTGCCCAGCTAAAGGTAAGCCTTAGAGCCAAGGCAACTAAAGGGCACAAGTTAATTCATTTGCTATCTTCTCACAATTACTATCCTCAAAATACAGGCCAGCGTTTTTGATAGCTGACATGATCATTTGGAAAGAGTCAGGGAACATCCTTACAAGGAAGACTGGAACCTCATGTATACAGAGGTTGGCTGTAGAAACTGAAAACAAAGCAGTATATGGCTTCTTAGTAAGAGTATTAAGAATGGGCTTGATTGACTTAAGTATCAGATTGACTAGTAGTTTTGCTGCAAGTTCTGCCTTCAGTTACTGCTTCCAGAGTGCACTGGGCAATTTCAGAAGCAGTAAGATCGTAAGATTATTAAGCTTTTGACTTGTTTATATCAACCACTCCAGAATAACAGGCATGCTTTAAACTTACCTGCAAATGAAGCTCTTTATCCAACTGACTAATACCTTGGGCAAGTTTTGCCAGTTGTTCAGCTATCACAGCCTGATGGATAGACTGGGAAGTGTAAGCTTTCACATCAAAGTCTTCTCTGAAGAAGTCAGCATAACATTCTGAAAAAGATTTATATTTTATCTTCATACTTCAAACCAGTTAAATAATATTTATGGATCTAAAGCATACAGTTCTCTGACCTTCAGTTTCTCCAAATGTAACAGCGTATGTTCTCTACGTCACATAATACAAATGAGGCACTGATTTCAGACCACAATCAAGAGGGGAGGGATTGTAAATAGTAAAAAAGACACACGTTCCTTTAGTCTCCACAGCCTTTTCTTGAGTAGAATACATTAAAAAGTATCAATACCTTCGTCTTCAAATGGTACAGTGTAACGAGGGTGAGGATGTCGAGGTTGTACCCACAATCAAACACACACCAGTCACCTTCACAGAATCACGGAATGGTCAGAGTTGGAAGGGACCTCTAGAGATCATCTAGTCCAACTCCCCTGACACAGCAGGGTTGCCCAGAGCACATCAATCAGAACTGCATCCAGGTGGGTCTTTATGATCTCCAGAGGAGGGGACTCCACGACCTCCCTGAGCAGCCTGTTCCAGGGCTCTGCCACCCTCACCCTAAAGAAGTTTTTCCTCAAATATGAGTGGAACTTCCCATGTTCCAGCTTGTGCCCATTGCTCTGTCACTGGGAACCACTGAAAAGAGTCCAGCTCCATCCTCCCCCAAACCGCCCTTTAGATAATTATAAGGATTAATAAGTTCTCCCCTCGGCCTTCTCTTCTGCAGGCTAGAGTCCCAGCTCTCTCAGCCTTTCTTCAGATCACCGAGGATGGACGTGGCATGAAACACAGCTTCATTAAATCATACCGGACTCTTACAACACTACTGGTTTATAAACTACTAAATTAATGACACCGCAATGACCATTTTGGCTCACACAAGACCCAGACAGCGCACACGAATACCACCAAAGCGCCTTCCTCTCTCCTTTCAGTGCACGGTTTTGTTTCCCTTCCGGAGCCAGCGGCCACAGGTGAACGGGCCACCTGGCAGGACCGGGCCGTGAAGGCCTCTCCGCCCGCAGGGGGAGGTCTCCTCCCGGAGGGGGGGCCGCTCCCCGCCGCCGCCCGTCCGCCGCCCAAACTTTCCGCAACTTGACAGTGCCGCCGGGGGGTTCACCGCCCTCCTCGCCCCGTCCCCGAGCACCGCCGCCTCTCTCCCGGCCCTGCCCGCCCAGCCCTCACACAGGACCCTCCGTCTCCTCAGGGTCGCCCGCCGACGGGATTCCAGACGCGGTCCCGCCGGCGGGGGGCACAGCCAGGCGCTGCCTCCCCCGGTCCCGCACGCAACCCCAGCGGCCGCGTCTTACCGTCCGCCAGCAGCTCGGC